TGGGTTCACGTTTTGTCCAGCTGTGTGTGCAGTCAGTGGATCAGTTACCAGATTGTTTTATAAGCGCAATTTACCATGAATAGATTTTAATACAGGTAGCTTTGCAATCAAGTAAACATACTAAAAGGTGGCCTATGAACTCACAAAGGGTGGCTAAACTGTAGCTTAATCCCTGTCGCAAAAATCCTGATTGCATTATTTTGGCAGATGTGTGGTCTTGTGAGTTGGTGGAAAACACATGTAAGAAGATTAATATTGAGAAGATATTCTAAGCGTAAAACAATAGGCACTACACTACAGTATGGATAAAATAAGGAACCAAACTGTCTATGCTGCCAATACAAACAGATTGCTTAGTCTCTGGATTCATTGTGGATGCATGTGTGTGAGTGTTTTTGACCAGACCCATCATCACCAGCCTGCACACAGCCTGCAGGGATTTTCACAGCAGCCAAGGTCTCATTTCCTGCCATGGGAGGGGGCGAAGGATACAGGGAGGGTGTCACAGCTGAACCAGAGCCAAATATAACAGGGGTCTGCCAGTTGTTCTTCATTTTTTATCCTGCGCAGAAGATGACATTCTGATTGGCGGTACGAGGCAGTCCATGTTTTAGCAAATAGGTCATGGCATTGCGGTCCTGTGTGATCAGCCAATGAAACTCTTTATAAACTTTAATGGTGCTTATCCACATTTCTACATATTTACGCAATTGATTTGTGGAACGAATGTTTTAAAGTGGATGGATGCAATAAATATCTAAAAATGTGGAAGACTAATGGTTGCTGATTCATCACATTCTGAGTTGTTCCTATAGGAAAAAGGAGAGTGTTCCTAGCAACCAGTTAAACAGAGATGTTTTTCATTATACAAGAGGGAAGACAAAGAGCTTTATGTGTATAATTCTGGCAAATCAAACTATTGGCTTTAAAAGGTCTTACATTTTACAAAATTGACTCTTGTGAGCTTCAGGCCATGTTAGAATGCTCTTAGCTCCTCAAAAACATACCTGGAGTTGTATTTTATTTAATTCACACATGTTTGAGTAATAAATCATTAATTAAATAAAAAATATGTGTACATTTCCAAAGCTCAAAATGCTTTGTTTCCCCTTCTGATGTTATGTAGTGGTAGTTTCAAGTCAAGTCTACAGCTACAGTGTACCTTTATTTTAATAGAGATTGGCAATTTCCGGGTTAAAATCATCAAAATGATTCTAGTGAAGTGTGTATACAGTTTACAGAGAGAAGCACTTCCTATATTACCTCATGATATCACAAGGTGGTGAAAACTTTTCTGTTTGAGAGAAGAACTCGGCCTAAATATGCAGGATTTGTGTGAATGAAACAAAACAACTCCAGGTATGTTTTTGATGAGGAAACTGCATTATAACATAGATCAGAAAATAGTGTAATATGGGCCCTTTAAGCTGCTCATCATGTTGCTGTATGGACATATTAATCAGTTATGAATGTGGCATCACAACAATTACATATTTTATCCAAAGAACTTGTTTTACTAAATTAAAAGGGAATCAACTGTGTTTCTGTTGCCATAATATGAATGATTACTTGGTTACTTGGTTACATTGTTGACAAAGTTAATCAAGTCCTTGCCCAGACTAGATTTCATTGTAATCCTACTCCTTTGTGAAATCATTTGCATATAGATTCATCTGGTGTGATGCTGTACAGTTTTATCCAGGAGTGGGACTGTCAAGACTGCCAAAGTTATATTAATCCTTTATACAAAACCAAATTGTTTCCTTGAGGCTTAAATAATGAACTGGGCTTCACTTCATACATTTAAACCCAATCCTCTGTGAAAACACATTCCCAGGTGCTAGGATTAGCATTAGCACAGCATGCATGCATAGATAATTCACCATCTCGTTATCTTCCTGAAATTCGACTCTTGAGTGCTGTGCAAAGAAAAACAAGTTTTTTCCACACACAATTAACAGCCAAACCAATGGAATCTCTGAGGATTTCCATTCTCTGTCCCTCCTCTCTGATAAAGGCACTAAGAGCAGTTGGCTGTGGTGGTTACAGTAGTAACTAACAGGATGTGGCCCATTTAGCTAAACTATCACTATGCTCTTGTGCAGTTTTAAAGGGCAGGACAAACAGTTAAGTGGCTATTGAGCTTGGGCTAAAAGGACAGTAATGGCATTTGTGCATATGAACGCTGTTAAAAGTGTCTTTTGGAGCTAGTCACCGTCTTGTATTGATTAAGGAATGGTTTGGTCATGAACAGGAGATCAGGTGGCATTTACACTTGAAATGATAAAAAAAATAAATGAAAGAACCAATTAAAATGCAGTAACATTTGTGGTATTGTTGGTTGTTGCAAGTACAGCAACCAAGGATCTTTTTGGTAATTGTTAGTTCATTCATTCATTCATGCAAGTTGCTGGAATACAGGTTTGACAGTATATTGTAAACATCAAAATAGTTGTTTCTAAGATGTGCAACAACAACATTTCACAGATATATGCACATTTTTGTCATTACTGTTTCTTGCTGGGGAAGTTATCCTACACTCTGCTGTACATGCTCGTATAGTACACTTTGTCCCTAGAAGCAGTGATTGAAAAAGCACTGACAGAAAAAAAAAATGTAAACTGCTTCTAACATCACAGCCATTGTCTCCAATGAAAACCTTGTGACCTGCTGGAAGCATTTTGGACTTGAGCTCAAATCATAACAAACTCAAACATTCAAGACTCTGAAAAAACAACAAATACTACGAGTCCATTGAGAGATACCTTTCCATGGCTAGATCTTATGTTAATAAAACTCTGAACTTATTGCATCTAAGGATGAAAGATTAAACAATTAAATTTGAGTTTTTGGAGTGACCTAGTTGCAAATGTTAGTTCTCTAATGGAAGCCAGGCCGACTTTACCCCCTGACTTGGCCCAGCTCTGCCCAGCAAATAGCCACCGTGTATGGGAACTATGTGCAGCTGTTACCCGGCAAAACATCTGGAGCTAGTTTTATTTCACTCAACGTTTAATCCACATCACAATCATTCTGGTACTTGGCGGGCAAACGCGGTCATCCTCTAAGATTTGGGCAGTGGTCCTATTTATGTAGGACAGAGCAGCAAAGATCAGAGGATAGAAAGCATTAAGTTGAAAAAATATTTTAATTTTTCCGTTGTCAGTATTGCCAAAAGTATGGGATTACCTGTCACTACCTTCTTTCATATCTACTTACTGCAAGTAAATATGAAAAGTATGGCTACCAACTGTTCACAGTGTCAACAAACCAACCACATAGCATTAGCATTAATCTCTCATCAATGGAAAATTACAGCCATTTCACCTTATTTATAGATGATTTTGAACAATAGGTAGATAGACAGTTCTTGAATAATACTTAACTTGTTACCATACTTAGCTTTTTATCCCACTATTGTCTCCTTAGCTGGCGTGTTTAGTAGCACTGGTTGATATACAAATCATTTTCTGACATGTAAACAATGGAAATGATACTACCCTTGAATCTAAGAAGGCCATGGAATGAAAATGTCTGAAGCAAAATCACCAAACCCTCACTGCATTCTCCCCACTGACCACAGGCTAATTATAGATTTGGAAAGAATCAATTTCATTCCTCCTCTATATCTGAGAGTCAGCCATGCCCTGTCCAAAATAAGCATCGATTCAGCTCCTTTCAAGCAGACATTCTGTTATCCAAATGCGCATTATTGGATGGGTGGCACTGCTGACAATGAGCCTCGGAGCCAAGACTAAAGGATGGAGCAATGGTCGGGTGGCGGGGTGGGGGATGGGTGTGAGGAGGTAGCACAAAATGATGGAAGAGGTGCATAGGGTGGACATTTGATGAACGATTGAAGTCAAGAGAGCATAGAGGAAAAGATGCATGCATGGATCATCACTGGTGCAAGTTAACTAATCTCTAAAATGTAGTGATGTTGACACTGATTTGCTGTGAGTTTTTAAGTTTTACGTGCATATACAGCAGCTTGTGACCAACTTTCACAGGGTGTAGAAATAACAATGCAACTCAATAAAGATAATATCAACACAGCATGGCCATAGAGGTGAAACAAAAAGGTTTTTGGATGGATTATACACACACAGTGCCTCTTGAGCAGCGCATTAATTATAGAGTGCAGAGAGGAAACATGCTGGTTGCCATGACAACATGTGCTAGAATAATGATGATTCAGGCCCTTTGCATTGGATAACCGGTGGTTTAAATGGGGCCAAGAAGAAACTAAAGAAAATCAAACCAAACAAGTCACCAATTAGTCAACTTCTGGTCAGATGTGACTGTAGGACTGGGCCTGTGCAGAGCTGCTTTACATCTGAAAGACCACACGCGTGCTCATTGGCCTCCATGTGTTTACTCAGATTAATGCACTGCTCTGTTGGGTTGGTTACATTTGTTGTGCCTTGTCGTTCTGTTTGGGCGTCAGATTATCAAATGCACAAAAACTTCAAAGTAACATTTGCAGAGTGTCAGATTGTGAGGTTTTTACTGTGGGAGCTGCAATGGAACAAAGCTGTTCCATCCTTTGTTTAAAAGGTGGTGTTCCGAGTGTGGGTTTGGCCTGGACATAGTTTAGACTAAATTATTCACCAAGATGGATGTATTAAACACAGACAGATGTTCTGAATGAGCAAGTTTTCTTTATTTTGATGTTATCGAAAATGTTCTTTTGTTTGATTTACAAGCCTAAATGAATTGTAAGAACATCTTCGTTCTGCTTAAATAGGCAGCTGACAGATCTCTGTCTAATGCTCCTGCTGAATGATGAGTGATGAGCCTGCTGCATTGTGTGATTATGTAGGCCATGTACAGTGTCCTAAATCTGACACTTTTGGGTGGATTGAGGCAGACCACAGGGGGGATGCTGACAGACATACCATCACATTAACTCTTTCAGTGCAACAAGCCTCAAATGCCAACACACACACAACCTCCACTGAACTACCAGGCACCAGGCCTGCACTAAGCACCACACCCACCTTGCCGGGTAGAGACGTTCCTTTCATTGGCAGCAGTGAGGATGACTTGCGGGTGGCTCTGCTCCAGGACGAAGAGCTCATCCTTGCCAACACGCCCGCTCTTGCTGGACTTCATGGTACCGGAGGGCCCAGAGGGAGCCAGGTACAGGCCGTTACAGTCTCTGAAAGCCACTTTGCCGGAACGGAACTCCAGCGTGTAGCCCGTGGATTTGTCAGGGGTGGCCGCCAGTGCGCCATCGTTGCGCAAGAAGCGGTTGTCGGATGTCTGCAGGTGGTACCGCTGATCCTGAAACACCAGCGTGATCATGGAGTCCACTCCCCACGGCACATCCCGGTCAATGGCGATTTCATCCACCTTGGAGCTCAGGTGCGCATAGCGTTTACGTGTCAAGCTGAAGATGTTGACCTGTGGGTGCATGGCAATGTGCACGCTCCATTTCTCAGCCACGGACACGGTTTGGGCAAAGCAGATGATGCGGTCCTCGGTGCCGCCCAGGTAGCGGCCGAACTGCTCAGACTGCAGCGACCAGCGGCCGTCATCGTGCGCCGTGATGATGAAGCGGCATTCGGGGCCTGGGGTCTCACTGTCCCCTGTCACGTTGCCGTCTTTATCCGCAGCGATGTACCGGCCCAGATGAGACTTCAGGCAGAACACGTTGCTGTTGGACTCGTCTCCGCTCTGCTCCAGAGTCCAGATCTGCTTCTTCTTCAGGCTCGTGGCTGATGCGTTGATCTTAAAGCCAAAGGTTTCTGCGGTCAGGTACTTGTTCCCGCAGTTGATGAGGCCAAACTGGATCTGCAGCATGTCGCTGGTCCCGTTGGCCGAGCCGTTAGTTGTCATGGTGCCTGGTCCGGGCCGGTTCTAGACAGAGGGATGCAGCTGAGGGTTGGGATGCTGCCTCGCGTGCTTCTCTTTGTTTGGGAGTGTGTTGAGGCTGACTGTGCGCGCGCCGCCGGTCCTCTCTGTATGCCTGTCTCAGCAGCGCGAGCCCGCCGCCACAGCTGCACCCTTTATAACCATCAGTGACGTAGAGACTGGAGACACGCCCCCAACCAATACTTTTACATTTCACAGACCAAATATAAGTTCTTTATATAGCTACAAATTATCTACTGTGTTTGCATGTGTCATAAGATGTCACTGTGTCTGTGGATGTTTGAATACTGAACAAAGAACAACAGTGTTTAAAGTAAATAAAACATCTCAGAGAAAGTAAATGTGGTGCTCTACAGCCATACACATAACTTTTTTTGTCATTCTATATCAGGCCACGAATAACATGATAACATCTCCCAAAACGCTCTTATCAGATGGACTCAGCATTTGAATCATGAGGAGGCAGGGAGCACAAAGCCTCATTCATGTCCACATCAGAGGCAGGAAAGGCCCAGCTCCACAAACAAAGAGGCCAAACAAATCACACTGGCATCTCCCCACTCAGCCACAGCAACATATCACCAATATATGGATTGTGCACCCACTGTGAGCTATATCAATGAAGGTGCATATGTGTATGACAACTTTGCTGCAAAATAACATTAATATTGCATTGTCATTTTGCATGCATGTTTATATTTTCATAAGCAAATCCAGTTGGCACACTGGGTTTGTGTACGTGTTGTGGTGCCTTCTGTCTGCATGCCTGATAGGTTATAGGAGAAGAGCTTGTGTAATCTGGTCTGACACAGTAATCTAATGTACTGGGGGTCCCACTACGGGATACAGTCTGGTAAATCCAATCGACGGTGAATCTTCAAACAAATCACATTCCCTTGTAATCCTGCTCCAGAAACACAATTTAATAACACAGAGACTTTACTCAAATACATTTGTGTTTGTTAATATATTTGTGGACAAAATATTTAGAGGCAGATGTCAACTATTTCTATTACTTTTGGTTCAACTTTCTTTACTGTTTTACCTGGCATGAATACCTAAAATTGTCAAAATACAAAAAGTATGATTATAGCTCTTCAAGTGGATGTTTATAATTTGGGGGATCTTCTTTGGCAGCTGTGTAACAACTGTTAACTTCATAAATTCATTCTCTGTACAGGCCTTTGTTGTACTCTGCATTTGACCCATCCTTCAGTGCCGGTGGGGCAATGTGTGCTACCCACCCAGACTCAGAAACAATAATAATAGCATTTGTGTAATTCCTCAGTTGCCCAGGTAGGATTGTGAAGTAGCTTGGATGAGCTGCGAAACGTATTCGATCAAAAAACCTTTGTCCAGTTGACAGAAATGAATTTCTTCCTTGCGAATAATAATAGTAATATATTTTATGTATAATGCACTCTCAAAGTGCAACAATGTGAAGCCATAACAAATGAAATACAACAATAAAAAACATCAATAAATAGATTAAAACTAGCAGAAATGCAAAAAAAAAAAAAAAAAGGAACATTTTCTTTTTTAAAAGCATATCACCATCTGTGAAGGTGGTCTGGTTGGGCGTTCCACATATGTGGAGCGAGAGTGCTAAACGAGCTGCCATGCCAGCTAACGCATTTCAAAAATATTCAAGCACCCTTTCTAAAATATATCTAATCATTTTAAAGTAACAATTGTGTACTCACTTTAACAAGCATAACATTGCATAAAATCCAGCTGCAGCAGAAAGCTTTTCAGTAGTGGGTGGGACTGTAAATATAGAATGTCAACATTAAACACTCTCTAAAGTGTATCACATATCAACTTCAAACACCAAGCTTTGCAAATCACAACTATCAAATGAGAAGAAAAGGTAATGTTCCCACTGCAGACCTAAATGCACTGGCTACAACTTACCATGAAATATTCCTCAAGAGGAAACGTTGTTGATTTGAAGTACAAATCATGAATTTATCAGTTTGACACAAGTGTAAAGGTGGTGGTTTTTGTGGCCAAGTTGTTCTTGTTATCAAATGATGCTTGTTGCCTCATGGAAATGGGACAATATTGTTCTAGAATCTTTGTGTTGAAGCTTCCAAATTATTGAACCAAGCTAAAGTGAAAGCATCATGTGTAGTAAATGTCAAAATAAATTATACTATACTATACTTACAGAAAAGGGCCAATATTATACTATTTTCTGATCTATGTTAAAATGTTATCTCATTAAAAACATAACTGAAGTTGTGCTTTGTTTCATTCAGAAAAGTTTAACACACAAACCCTGCTTGTTTAGGCTGAGTTCTTCTCTCAAACACATTGTGATGTCATGTGGTGATACAGGAAGTGCTCTGCTGTGTTTTTAAACTTCATACACCTTCAATAAAACCATTTGGATAATTTCAGCCTTGGAACTGCCCACCTTTACTGAACAAAAGGTAACAGGTAATAGCTGTTAACTTGAAAACTACTACCAAATGACATCACACGGTGGAGCAGAGCATTTTGAGCTTTGGAGACAGACTAATACTCAAACATGTGTGACTGAAACAAATCTCAACTCCAGGTGTGTTTTTGATAAGGCAACAATATTAAATCTGTAATCAATTAATAGATGTTATGGTATATCATTTTAGCTTTTAGTTGCCTCCATTACAGAATTGTAAACACTTCAGTGATATAAAAGTCTAAAGTGTCTACACCTGACCTCACTGGATTCGCCAGAACCTATAGTTTGATTGGACAAGGTCTGGTTGTTATAGATTCACCCTTTGTTACACCAATGCATCGCCACTATACATTTTTTTCCCCTTTTTTGCTTTGTCTGTTTAGCTCTTGCACATCTCCTTTGCTTTCACACTAACCCTTAAAGTGATCAGATTAGCAGTCATTTGTGTTGTCCCCACTGTCCCATGCTATAATGCCAGCCCAATAGACGAGCGAAGGGGGCGGAGGGTGGCCATCTTTGTTCCCCTTCAGCATTGAGGCAGTTACCATGGAAACGGGGCTGCGGACGGTTCTGATGAAGGGCAAGGAGCGACGCGTGCAACCAACACACTGACACACTGACACACAAAACCCACTGCGGCACTGCCCGGGCCAATCAGAGCCCGTCCTCGTTGCACACCTCTGAGCTTCATCCAGTCACGGCGCACGCTCACATCTGCTTTATATTTTACACCAATCAGAAAGCAGATATATAATGCCACGTCCAACCAGTGGCATTTACATAGTGGGCTATAGACTCCATTAAATTAATTGGGATCAGAGAGTTCAGTTGGATGAATAGTTGAGATTTCCTTATTGCATTGTCACTGTTGTAAATGGAATTATGCATGGCTCATAAAATAAGCTAAATGCAACAAAGATGGATTGAAAGGAAACAGGCCAAGGAAAAAGGAGGATGGCAGTAAATCTATGAGAGGAAGGAGAGTATGAGCTGCGAGAATGACTGTGACAGTTACACAATAGTGACACCTGTAGTGGGTCCAGGAGTCTTTGTAGTCAGTGTAGGGAGAGATAGATCGGAAACAACATTTACAGCCTATAAAGATTAATTTGATCAAAACTGTAAGAATATTGTGCACTAAGTTATAGACCATTTCTGTAACAGAAACCAAAATAGAAGCATGTGAGAATGACTGAATGCATTGTAGTGTGTGTTTTTAATTTTGTAGGGCGTAATTTTTGTAGGGCGTCCCATTGGCGTCCCAGACTGTGTAAAACCAATGCATTATATTCACCTAATAGCCTTTTATTACACTTTTTTTTTTACTGAGCTCTTCCCTGAGACTTTAGATGAGTAGTCGCGTACGTCCTATCTTGACATACTTGGGAAAAGAAATTTATGTTGATGCTGTACTCCAAATGCACTGACCATGTAAAACAGCTAGACTAACCTGCAGGAGCTCAGTTATATAAAAAATTATAATCATGGTTCTTTGACTCATAATTGAAATCACAAAACAATTACCTCTTTATAGTCAAAATTAACCTGTAGAGAAAACATAGACTCAAAATATGTTGTTACTACTAATGCCAAGTTAATTGAATTATTATTATTTGATTATATTTGTAATTTAATAGAGTACTAATTGAAATCACTATTTTACATCAATCAATCAATCAAACTTTATTTATAGAGCGCTTTTCATACAAAAAATGCAACACAAAGAGCTATTTACATTTGATTAATCGCACCAGCATCTGCTAGCCTTAAAGGTGGAGGGTCTGCTACTTGTTAGTTTTCTTGGAAATGTTATTGCTTTGTCAAAGTATGACATCTGTTTCCATGGAGACAAGCCCACAATGCCTCCAGAACAATTTACAGGTCAGATTTGTGGAGAGGTGAGCTCATTTACTGTAGGAGCGCATGTTTTTTGTAGTATTTTTTGCCATTTTTGCATATATCCTTTCAGACAAAGCAATACTACCTTCATAGAAACAAGTTTGTGGCGCGTCCGCTGACAGAAAAGTTACACCGTGCACTTTTAAAGATCGAAATAATACTAGAGTATAGTTTAGGATGTCCTGCACTAAGTTAAGTTCATTGTACTGTACTGTACGACGTGTATTGGATTGTGTGTCTGTATTGTGTATGTGTGTTTACCAAAAGAATTAAGTAGGCATTCTTTCCTGCACTCAAAAAAGACGATTTTTGTGTTGTTTTCTGTAAATAGTCTGTTCTGCTGTCTTGTATCCTGTTTTATATGTTGACAGGGTTAGGCAAAAAATATGTTAAAACTTCAGCCTAAACCCCTTCAGTTCAATGTTGAATAATTTTAGTGACATGCTTAATTTCTTGTGTTAAATCACTGTAATAAGATGAATTATTATGTTAACTGACCGAAGAAATAATAAACTAAACTAAATTGTGACACTTCAGTCCTGACTTGTAGGCCCCACTGCCAGCCCAGATCAAAGGTGCAGCAGATTTGGGTTTTTCCCAAATATTGTTCCCTATATTTCAGCATTTTATGATAGCTGAAATATAGGGAATTTAGTATTTTTCCTAAATATTCTAACAATTTTATCAATATGTCAACCTGTTTTTTTCCCAGGCTTACTGTATGTTCACATTTTCACAGTTTACATT